TTTGCAACTCCTCAAAACCACGAATTTATTAAAGTAATGAGGTATTTTCATTTAATATCTGCTCATATGAAAATAGAAAACTGTTTATGACTCTACAAATATAGTAATCAAATCAATTGACTCAGATAAACATTTGCGTTGGTTTAGGTAATTATGAAGTTAGTGCTAAGTGGATGAAAACTCCTCCAGCTCATTAGTCCAAAGCAGCAGTGCTGTTTACGCTGTATACATATTTACATAATCACAGCGGCCAGGAAAATTAATAAATCAGGCTTTAAGTGGGCACTAAGCACAGATTTGAGGGAGTGGATGTGAGCACTGGGTCTCCTGTCAACCATGGAGAAAATGATGGAGGGTATATGGTCTCATGGCTGCATTCACACTCATGGTATAGTCCTGGTTTAGTTCTAGTTTAGTCCTGGTTTAGTTCTAGTTTAGTCCTTGTTTAGTTCTAGTTTAGTCCTGGTTTAGTTCTACTTTATTCCTGTTTAGTCTAGTTTAGTCTGGGTTTAGTTCTGTTTATTCCTGGTTTAGTCCTAGTTTACTCCTGGTTTAATTCTGATCCAGTCCTGGTTTAGTTCTGGTTCAGTCCTGGTTAAGTCCTGTTTTAGTCCTGGTTTAGTTCTGGATTAGTCCTGGTTTGGTTCTAGTTTAGTCCTGGTTTAGTTCTAGTTTAGTCCTGGTTTAGTTCTAGTTTATTCCTGGTTTAGTTCTGGTTCAGTCCTGGTTTAGTTCTGGTAGTTCTGGTTTAGTCCAAGTTTAGTCCTAGTTTAGTCCTAGTTCAAACCTGGTTTAGTCCTAGTTTAGTTGTGGTTTAGTCCTGGTTTAGTTCTAGGTTAGTCCTAGTTTATTACTGATTTAGTCCTAGTTTAGTCTGGGTTTAGTTCTGTTTATTCCTGGTTTAGTTCTAGTTTACTCCTGGTTTAATTCTGATCCAGTCCTGGTTTAGTTCTGGTTCAGTCCTGGTTAAGTCCTGTTTTAGTCCTGGTTTAGTTCTAGTTTAGTCCTAGTTTATTACTGGTTTAGTTCTAGTTTATTCCTGGTTTAGTTCAAGTTTAGTCCTGGTTTAGTTCTGGTTTAGTCCTAGTTTATTACTGGTTTAGTTCTAGTTTAATCCTGGTTTAGTTCTGGTTCAGTCCTGGTTTAGTTCTGGTAGTTCTGGTTTAGTCCTGGTTCAATCCTGGTTTAGTCCTGGTTTAGTCCTAGTTTATTACTGGTTTAGTTCTAGTTTAGTCTTGGTTTAGTCCTGGTTTAGTCCTAGTTTATTACTGGTTTAGTTCTAGTTTAGTTTGGTTCAGTCCTGATTTAGTCCTAGTTTAGTTTAGTTCTAGTTTAGTCCTGGTTTAGTTCTGGTTTAGTTCTGGTTCAGTCTTGGTTTAGTCCTGTTTTAGTCCTGGTTTAGTCCTAGTTTATTACTGGTTTAGTCCTAGTTTTAGTCTGGGTTTAGTTCTGTTTATTGCTGGTTTAGTTCTAGTTTACTCCTGGTTTAATTCTGATCCAGTCCTGATTTAGTTCTGGTTTAGTCCTGTTTTAGTTCTGGTTCAGTCCAATTTTAGTCCTAGTTCAGTCCTGGTTTAGTTCTAGTTTAGTCCTAGTTTATTCCTGGTTTAGTCCTAGTTTAGTCCTAGTTTATACCTGGTTTAGTCCTAGTTTAGTGCTGGTTTAGTTCTGGTTTAGTCATAGTTTATTTCTGATCCAGTCCTGGTTTAGTTCTGGTTCAGTCCTGGTTTAGTTCTGGTTCAGTCCTGGTTTAGTTCTGGTTTAGTTCTGGTTTAGTCCAAGTTTAGTCCTAGTTTAGTCCTAGTTCAAACCTGGTTTAGTCCTAGTTTAGTTGTGGTTTAGTCCTGGGTTTAGTTCTGGTTCAGTCCTGGTTTAGTTCTGGTTAGTTCTGGTTTAGTCCTGGTTCAATCCTGTTTAGTCCCTGGTTTAGTCCTAGTTTATTCCTGGTTTAGTTCTAGTTTAGTTGTGGTTCAGTCCTGATTTAGTCCTAGTTTATTACTGGTTTAGTTCTAGTTTAGTCCTGGTTTAGTTCTGGTTTAGTTCTGGTTCAGTCTTGGTTTAGTCCTGTTTTAGTCCTGGTTTAGTCCTAGTTTATTACTGGTTTAGTCCTAGTTTAGTCTGGGTTTAGTTCTGTTTATTGCTGGTTTAGTTCTAGTTTACTCCTGGTTTAATTCTGATCCAGTCCTGATTTAGTTCTGGTTTAGTCCTGTTTTAGTTCTGGTTCAGTCCAATTTTAGTCCTAGTTCAGTCCTGGTTTAGTTCTAGTTTAGTCCTAGTTTATTCCTGGTTTAGTCCTAGTTTATACCTGGTTTAGTCCTAGTTTAGTGCTGGTTTAGTTCTGGTTTAGTCATAGTTTATTTCTGATCCAGTCCTGGTTTAGTTCTGGTTCAGTCCTGGTTTAGTCCTAGTTTATTCCTGGTTTAGTTCTAGTTTAGTCCTGCTTTAGTTCTGATCCAGTCTTGGTTTAGTTTTGGTTCAGTCCTAGTTTATTCCTGGTTTATTCCTAGTTTAGTCCTGGTTTAGTTGTAGTTTAGTCCTGGTTTAATCCCAGGGTAGTCCTGGTTTAGTCCTGATTTAGTCCTAGTTTAGTTCTGGTTAAATCATGGTTTAGATCTGGTTTATTTCTGGGTTGGGCCTGATTTAGTCCTGGTTTAGTCTTGAGTTAGTCCTGCTTTATTCCTAGTTTGGTCCCAGTTTAGTCCTGGTTTGGTTTTGGTTTATTCCTGAGTTAGTTCTGGTTTAGTCCTGGTTTAGTCAGGTCCCTGTGATGTAAATCCTTTATTATTAAACTAACAACAAGGTCTGGGTTCATTAGATTTTCAGTAGGGTTATGGAAGAAGTGACTATGGTTAAGGTCACGATCAATCTCCCGCAAATGAATATAAGTCAATGAAATGTCCCTCCAAAATATGTGTGAAAGCAACCAAAAAGAAATATGTTCAAAATATCTCTTGGTGTTGGTATTTATAACATTTGTGTTGTTTTAGAATAAGTATTTTTTAGAGACTTTCAGAACCCAAAATAAAATTTTTCAAGCAGTGAAAAAATTGACATTTTTTTCACCATTGGAACAAATCTCCTGACCAATATTAAGTCTTTTCCAGACAGATTTATGTCATATGTTTATTTTAATGGTGCACTGTGTAGCTTCCACCTTTTAAACATGTCTGTCTTGCATTTATTAAATTACAGCTGTTTTCATAGCAACTTAAAACATGCATTTATACTGTGAGGAGTCTTGCCTCTCCACAGATCTGATATTTACACATTCTGGGAAAAGCAATATCTCCATAGAGACAACCAGTTGATGGTTCCTGCACCAGAAAATTCACACAGTACACCTTTAATGTATAAATCATTGCATCAATGATGGAAATTCTTGATAGAAGTATTTCTGTATCTCGGAGCACAGATAACCAAAAACAACAGTGATACTTGATAAATATATAAATATATATATATATATGTATCACTCATAACACGATTAAAAACATTTAAACATTTGAGTGATAGGAAATTGCATCTATTTCCTATTTGTTTTCTAATAACAAGAATTCATTTTGGGAGCATTTCAAACATGGGGCAAGCTGACTCTAACAAATTGTCTTTTTTCAAGTTCAATAACTCAAATTTGCCTTGAGGGACTTACAGCGGGCAGAGTATAGATGAAACCGCCCCACACTACAGGCCAGCTGCTGTAATAGGTGTCAGGAGCACAGCACAATGCAATTCTATGGCTTATACTCTCCAACCAGCATTAGATACCTGTGAATTAAATGAAAGAGCATAAGAAAAAAAATGAGAAAATATGATGATGATGATGTATTTTAGTGCACTATTTTTGGCCAGTTCATAGTTTCAGAAGCAGAGAAGGGGCTTAGGTAATTCTATGGGAGATTTACTGTTTTTGATAAAATATCAAAACGTATTATCTACAAATGTGGAACCTTATCATTATTAATTAATGAATGCATGAATGAATGAATGAATTATCCCAAATCTTATGGCTTGAGCCCTTTTGATTACAACAATGGGGAATAAATAAAGCACTACTTTCTGAAGCTATTGTGACTTTCTCTTATGTTTATTGATAATGACAGAAATGACATTGAACTTTCTTTGAGTTTTTGTTTCATGTGGATATGCCCAGTAATTACAGATACTATATCAACCATAAACCAAGTCAACGAATCTGTGATCTGACAATTCATTTCATTCAAAGATAAACACTTGTGAATCAACTTTCCTCAGAGAGTGAAAGTTAAAATGACTCTCACTGTCTCTCACCCTTGTACAACCCATGCACAACTACAGCTTTGGTCAAATGTACTTTTTTACTTTTAACAGTTGGACTAAGATGCAACCACTTGTGACTCCATATTTTTTGTAGTATCAGTATCAGTATCAGAAAAATGTTATACAAATAGAAAAGTGTGTTCAATGCATTTTTAAAGAGACTATAGCCTACTTGTTAAGACATGACATATTTAGATCACCATGTTACCTTTTATTGTTTTTAAAAAGCTATATTTGCTGAAAACAACTTACAGTTAGTTACTTTTAATTTTATTTTTAATATCCTCCCTCCCTTCAGAGCACTGTAACAACACAATCAGCGTATGTTCTGCTAATGAAAATACTGCACATCGAGTCAGGTTTGTGAAGCTGCAGTGTATTCTTTTGTATCATGTTTTTGTAGTCGTGTGAGAGCATGGGTCCTGTAGCCTTGTGAGTTGAGTCTTGGACAAGATGGTTCAAACAGGGTCTGGAAGAGAACGCTAAATTACTCAAACGTCTCTCAAACTCTTCAGGCATATTTTTGATGAGGAAACAATATAATACTGTATCATGGTAGAAATCTCCAAAAAGTCAATTTTGTGTAATACCCCCTTAACAGCCCTTAAAGCAGGATTGATGTAGATAATTAAAAACAAACCCATGTACTTTCCTTCCTTTGTCTGACTGGCTGATAGACTGTGCTGTGTCACTTCTGTTTGCAGGCCCATGCAGTGTTGTCAACGGCGACAGGAGAATACACCAAACAAGTCCATCACGGCCAAAGTCACACACTGGGAGCGCGATGACATTAAGGAAATAATAGTTTAACTCGGAGTGAAGAGGTGAGTGACCCAGTTCTGCAACGCGCCCGTCTCCCAGGACCCACAGCAGAGAAGGAGAGAGAGAAGGAGAGTCTGTCCTTGATCAGAGCCGGAACTGGACTAAACACAAAATACTCACACTCTGTAATGGGGTTCTCGGGGTGTGGGTTTTATGAAATTTGGGCAGTATTAAAGAATGATGATATTATGTGGAGGATAATTGAAAGATGTGGGGGATAACTTTAGCCAATATGAGGTTTTACAATGTGGAATTGACAAATTAAAAAAAAAAGCCTAATGAACAAAACAACTGTAGTTAGAGGGGTCATTTACACACATTTTTTGACTGTTCAAATGTTCATTTAAGAAGATTTTTAATTGTCAAATAATGGAGATCAGGATTGTGTCATCATAGCATAACATTTTGCATTACTTTCAGTTTCACTATTAGGGAGAGTGCATATTAATGAGAATCTACAACATGGTAGTGTAAATATGACAGATTATAGCAAAAATGCTAATTTCTATCTGTAATCCCCAGGCAGGTGACACCACAAATTTAACAGCAAAAACAATGACAATAGCGACAGTGACAGTTATACACTAAACATGTCCACAAGTCTGGTTTTCCTTCAGCCACTGTTTGAAGAGGGATTTGAAAGTGTCCAGTGTTGGAGTCTCTCTTATTGATAATGAGAGACTGTTCCAGAACTTAGTGCCTCTGATTGAGACTTACTTTGTCTGAATGTGGTGCATCTGTGCGGGAGCTCACAGTTCCCCCGGGCCTTGGCCCTAGTTCCCATCCCACTGATAGTCTTTGTTTTAATAAAATCCTGTAACCGAGGGGGGGTAAGTCCATACAAAACTTACAGCCATATTTAAAATGAACAAAACTATTAAAATTAAGCAAGTTGTACTTGCTTATTTTTACAGCAATTGATTGAACTGGTTTGAGTGTTGTGCCAGAAGCAAGTGACCAGGTGATTATGCAATACTCTATATGAGACAGAATCATGGAGTATAAAAATATTCGTGCCACATATAGAGTCAAAACTTAAACTTGCCATTCATTCAAAAGGAGCTTAATGGGATGTACTATTGCTCTTTTGTCAAACTGTTTTTTTATATTTATTCACATTAGGTGAGTTTTGGGCCTAGTGTACAGTGTAGTTGTTTGATGACAGCTATGGAGTTACCTTTTCTTGCATCTACACATTTCAAATGAGAAAGTAAAATTATTAAGTAATTATTATTAAGCCTAAGCTTCTCAACTTCACTTAGCTCCATGACAGTAGATATGTTGACTGTAAGGCCATGGAGATAAGCAAAAAAAAGTTTCATAATGCACCTTACAATATATAATGCATAACATAAAATATAGAGATGACAAAAGATAACATAAATTTCATTTAATAGCAACTTTTAATCATTTGAAGGGTTGAATTTTATAATAATGTTTTATGGAATATTTCCAAGGCTGGCCAGCTCTCTGTTTTCTCTGTATGAGGAGTCTATACATGTAATAAAATAGACCTATATTTATACATGATAATTAAAAAATAAATAAATAAAAAATTGTAGATCAGACTGTTCTACAACACCTCCAACAATCACTGTGTTTTTCTGCCCAGTTTTAGTTAAAGACAGAAAATCCGGCCGATGCAATTCCCAGGTTCCACTCTGTCTGTTTTAATAATTGACCAGACAACACAGCGCTCCCTGACAGACTCCTGCTCGGCCTCACATCTTTAAGGAAGTCCACACATTCAACACATCCGCCTTGTTCTCCGGCGCTTTCCCCCCTACGTTAATGAATAGAACATGAACAGGGGAAATTATGCCTCGAATTCTCTGGGCAGATAATGATTCCCATCTTTATCAGTGGTTTATCTTCTAAGGTCAAGATTAAAGTGAAAAGTGATGTGAACCCCCAGCGTCTCCAATTAAGAGGAGCGAGATAGAGTCAGAGAGGAGGAAGACGAGGAAAAAGAGGAGGAGGAGGAAGAGGAGGAGGAGACCAGCGGACTGTATTAACCAAACGCATGGTCCCTGAAGCCGCTCGGAGAAGAAACAGAAAACAACGCAATTAAATTATGACACCTGACACCTAGACCCCACATCAGTGCGAATCATAATGGACTAACCGCAGCAAGTGAGAGCCTGTCAGACGATTAATGCGATCGCACGCATTAGCACCTCTCCACTTGACATTTTTGGAAGATTTCTTTTTCTTTCCCCCCCAACTGTCTGTGTTGTTTTTGGGCAATTGTTCTAAATCTTAAAGGGTCCATATTACGCTTCTTTTTTTTGATCTACTGTATGTGATAATGTTGTTTCTTCATCACAAACGGAGTTGGAATAGAGCATTTTGATCTTTGATGATGTAGACAGCATTCTAACAATTTTGAGAGTCAATTTTGCTTAATACAGCGCTTTTAAAGGTGGAATATGAAATGAAATATTCCACAGTATGTTGTTAAAAGTATCTATTTTATTGCTTGAATCCTTGAAAAAAGCATGTGTTCTTCTTATAAGCGGAGGTCACCTCTCCACAGACCTGACAGATTTTTGGAAAACGTCTTTGTCTTTTTTATCCCCAACTACCTGTGTTGTTTCTGGGCGATCGATCTAAATCTTAAAGGTAAAGGTGCAATATGTAACTTTTCTAATATGGTGTCTACTATCAACTTGTCTCCATGCATGGAAATGTTCTTTACTTGCCTGAAATGTTCCACAATATGTCATTAAATTTATCTGTCTTGCATTTATTCAGCTACGTGTTTTTTTTATTGTTTAAATTCTCAAAAAAATGTATTCTCTCCACCTCTGACCTGCAACTGGGCCTGATGTTTCCATGGAGACAAATAAGTGAAATACCAGACTGTGAAAAATGTTAGGCAAGCAATAAATTCTCTACGATGATAAGCAGGTGACAGACCCTCCACCAGAAAAAAGTTGCACATTGCACCTTTAAAATCTAGAACAATAATTTGTATTTTACTGGAATAAATTAGGACATGGGCTTTCATTAGAGCTCACTGGTTAGTAAGTCACTGCTGAGATGTGGATTCAGTTTGGAGCAGACTAACAAATAAGCAGCAGGAGCATTTGGCAACACTTAATAATAACTGCACCTTAATTAGACGTAATAAAGCATGAAAATGACCTAAATGACCTAATTCATAATAAACAAATAGTTTAACCATAGTTCAGACTCATTAACTGGTCAATATATACCCTTGCATTAGCTCCTAACCCCTTAACTGAATACTTGAATCATTCTTGAAGGTCCTATATTACTCAAAATTGACTCTTGTGAGCTTTTAGCCATGTTAGACTGTTGTGACCCCATCAGCAACATACCTCGAGTTGTGTTTTGTTTCATTCACACATGTTTCAGTAACCCTTTTTTTTATAAGTCTGTCTACATCTCCAAAGCTCAAAATGCTCTGTACCACCTTGTGATGTCATGAAGCAATAGTTTTCAAGTTCAAAGCTATTACCATTTACCATTGTTCAGTTAGAGACTGGCAAGTCCAGGACTGAACATAGATCAGAAAATAGCGTGATATAGGCCTTTTAATCATGGCGTTAACTATGTGTTTTTTTGTTTTTTTTATTGGCAAGTGGCAATTTGCCCTGTCCAATCCAAGGCCATTATTTATTCAGTTCTATGTTTGGTCCTATAAATCGTGATTGTTAGGTTGGTTCTGGTTTAAATCCAATTTGGGCTTTGTTAAGTTCGTGTTTAGCCATTATTTTGTCTTGAATGAATATATTTGTTTTTAGTTGCCATTTATTAACTTAAATTGGTAATGTTTTTCTTCACATTGAGTGTAGTCAAAGAGGAAATAGACTCCACGTTGAAAGTACCATCTCACGTTTCCATCTCGGGTTTCAAAATCATGACTAGTTAGAAGTGTTTCCATAGAGTTAACAATAACAGTTATTAACAAGAATGAAGCTGAAACTCATAAATAAAACTTCTCTGCAATGATGTTTCAGATGAAAAATTTGACACAACACAAATGATTTTCACAATTTTTTTAAATAAATTGTCATATTTAGACAAAGTGATACATTTTAATATGAGAAAACCCAGAGGAGACAGAAACGCAAAGACAATGTGGAAATTATACTTTCTTCACACTTTCCTCACGTTCACACGTATTTCAGATTATTTGTGGACAGCCTGTTATTATTTACAATTTCAGCTAACTTAATTAAGCACATTTTTTATCAAGCTTAATCATTTAGAGATTAAAATTAAAATTCATTTCCAGTGTCCACCTGTTTAGCAGTTAATATCTTAAATGGTGCAGGTGTCTCAGTGTACCCCCAGCGGCTGAGTGCACACTGCGCTGAACACTATCTTAGCCCTAACCGCACTTAAGCATGCTGTGGGCTGTAATGAATTTTCTTTTATGGCCACAGCTAAAGGAGCTTACAAGGTTTAACAAGCAGGGGTGCTACTAGAAATTCTGCCACCTCTGTCAAGATGTCACCCGGACCCCCTGTGCCCCCCTACCTCCCTCTCCTCCCCCACCCGACACCCCGAGCCTGTTAGCATGTAGCAGCGGAGTCTCACCCCGGTGGTGCCACAGTCCGAGTCCTATTAAGAAATGCTCATGACGTTTTTAGACCAGACCAAACGGAAAGGTGGGATGGTGCGGACCTCCCCCATCGAGAATGTCAAGGGTCTCTCAATCACAGCACAAAGAGGAGATGTGACCATGTATATTTTAATGTTTAACCAGGCCATACTAAATTAGACTGGCTAATAGAGGCCAGTGGACAAAGGGTGTACCAGCTGAGCTCAATCTGCCACGTCCATAAGCTGTTAGTCATCAGGGCATATGCTCTTTGCTAATAACGTATATGTAATTGAATTTGTTTTAAAAAACTTGTGTGGTTTAAAAAGCAAAACAACATGTGAACAGTTTGGAAAATTCACTCAATTATTCATCCAAAAACAATGTGTGGGCGTGTTTGGATTTTCCAGTACTTTAATAAACCATTTGCATACAGATTGTCCAGAACTTTCTGTTAAAGTGTATTCTGTAACTTTTTGGTTGGCGGTCCATCTGGAATGTTCCACAGTAACAGCTCTAATTTACACCTATTCAATTACATAGCGCTTTACTGCTCAAAAATAGCTACAAAAACACGCATTCTGACTGTGAGCGGGGTCTCCTCTTCACAGATCTGACCCATAATTTGGTCTGGTTTGGTCTCCATGAAGATAGAAAAGGTCTGAAACTGTGAAAAATTCCTAACAAAGCAATAACATCTTCATGGAAAAAAGTATTTGATGGACCCTCCTCTAGAAAAGTTACACAATACACCTTTAAACAACAAAGCATGGTTTCTTCCGGTTTCATATAATGCTGTAATGCTGTAGAAATAACAATCTTCAGCTAATTCCTGAATCTCCAAACTCCAAGTCCACAGTGTGCACAAACAGATAACTCCTACACACGAGTCCCACATTATAACAGTGAGCACTTTGTTATCCACACAAAGCTCGGTTTCAGCCAGTAACTGTTTGAAGGGCAGCTCAAAACAAATGCAACACATTTAATTGCTGTATAGTGTCCTCTTCGCAATGTAAAAACTCCACTAATTCTTCAGCCTATCTACAGAAGAATCCTCTCCAAGATGAAAATATCTTGGTAAACAAGGAGAATGTGAAAGCGGCGTATGTTGTTGACAGAGCTGCTTTAGCACATTGTCGACAAAGAAGTGTCTGACAGCGCCATCTTGGAGAATTTATTAGGTGAATAGATGTCAGGAGAGAAAGTCCAAGTGGTTAATGGAAGAGTTCCACTGTTCCAGTTCAAGAGCATTATCAAGAGTTTACATATGTGTGTGTGAGCGGTAGAAACTTGTAGGAATGAAAACCAGTTATTTGTACTGGTTACATTTGCCCTCTACCATCAAACCTACAATGATTTGCTTATAAAGTGTGTTTGAATTACACCAGATGCCCTTCCTAAAGCTACTTAAACTCTGAATTCCTGCTCAGAGAATTGTGAGTAGTGACTGTTTGTGAGGAGATTGCAGTTACATACTAATTGAGTCCCATTTTAGAATTATAATAGAACAAATACCTTTACTGCCTTATTTGATATTCAAAGCGCATTACAATAAATTATTAATTCACTCCTCACACACTGGCGATAAGCTCCATGGGTTTCAGAATGATGAAAAATTAGGACCGTTGCCATAGCGATTAACAAAAAGTCCTCAAAATGTTGCTTTGTTGCTTTTAACAGAAAGATGAAACTCATTAATAACCACAGCTGCTTTGGGGCTGACTGACAAAAAACTGGCTGCCAATCTGTGCCAATGGCCTCTCTGATCATCTCCAATCACCAAATGTAGGCACAGTTTTTGAAATGTCTTGACTAAAGAAACAACGACAGGATTAGTCAAAGCTGGAATTGAGAACTCCTATGTTTGTGTGTGAATGCACGG